TATATATATATATATATTTTTTTACATTTTACCTTATTTGTATAGTTGTATTTTATATTTAATCTGTATATCTGTATTTATGTTCTACTGTTAGTGTTATCTGTATGCACCAGGGGTCTGAGAGTAACGCAATTTCAATTCTCTGTGTGTATGTGCTGTACATGTGGAAGAATTGACAATAAAGCAGACTTGACTTGACTTGACTTGACAAATTTAGGCTGTGTACAACTATTGACAATGTAGTCTACATGTGCAATAAATGTTGCCTCATATAGAAATGTATGTGACTCAGCAATATTTTGAGAAATCAATGACACAAAACCGATTTTTAAGAAGTCTAAACATTTGGATAAATATAAAAAGAATGAACAATTTGATAGCAAAAAAACGATAGTCAATAAATAAATAAATAAATCCATTCCTCAGAGACCCATTGATAGGTCTACTAATGGTATATTTTTTCCTCATTAAAAGTGTTTTTAGGAAGCCACTGGTTATAAAAAAAAAACGTGATTTTAAACTTATTTTGGTATGATTTTTTTTATTAAACAAAAGGCATTAACTGTGAGGTATACATCAAATACAAAATAAAGACTACACTTGTTGACAGTGTTAGGAATGGTGTCAGTGTAAGCACTTATCAAGCTGTGACATTCAATGTACTGTAAAGTTTTTTTGTTTTGTTTTTTTCAAACCAAAAACTGTCACTATGACAAATTACAGAGTGTCAGCCACTTGTATGAGTAGTTGAGGCATATTTAGTAAAAATTAAATTGCTTCAAACAAGTGTTTCGCTACTGTCGTTCATCCTAGGCGTTAGATGGCGATGCGGCGCCACAATCGTTTGCATCTTCAACATGTAACATACAAGAAGCAGAACGCCGCTTCTCTGGCTATTATCTGAAACATGGCGCTGTCTAGTGTGTTGCGGAGTGAGTCTGCGGATTTTGCAGATCGCTTTAACCAGCCTTTTGCGCACGGTTGTGGCCTTAACCAGACAGATCTCGGCTTTGGAGAAGCGTTGGATGATAGTCTGAACTTCGCCGTGAAACCGCTGGGTGAAGGGGATGAACCGGAGAGAAAAATCGAGTTTCTTCACGGCACGACCACCTTAGCATTCAAAGTGAGTTCGTTTAGCCAGCAGCTAATAGCATCTGGCCAATTTAAAAACGATTTACTCCACCTTACAATTAAGTTATGACATGCAGAAGCTTGTGTCTTTTATAAAACTGCTGTTATGTTTATACAGTGTTTGTAATGAATAGAAATAGGCTGAATGGTAGACAGAAGAGCAAGAGCCTGGTAGTTACTCACAGTCGCTAAGTACAGCAGTGTCTAATCATTTAACTTTTGTGTTAAATAATTAAAACGTCTTTATAGAACTTCGAAGTGTGTTAATGTCTGTATGAATGGTTAAATGTAGATTGATTACAGAATGAATACATACAGACTCCAGCTTTGCTCCAAAATACCAAAGTGAAGATTGTAAGAATCATAAGACAGATGAAGTTAATGACACAGCAACTAAATTAGCTTTTTCATTGTGGCCTATAGTGTCCAGTTGTTGCTGGTTCATAAGTAGATGATCTTGTCAGAATCTTAAACAGACAGAAATGACATGTTTAATCTACTTTATTACAGGTAATACTTTTTTATTAGTACTGAAGTAAGTACTGAAGCGAGTTACTGACAAATGTGTTATATAATCACAACTCCGCACTGCTTACATGTTAAATCTGTTAAGGTTTACTTTGACTGTCGTTTATTGTCCTCAGTGGCACTGATTGGATAATTGCTTTGACTTAATAGATTATTCATAAGCCTGTGTTAGTCTATTAGTTAGAACAAACAAATTATGACTTATTAATATCATCAAGTGTTATTCTATTTAAGTCTGATGGGACTCTGCATGATAATAGTGACGTGTGAACTTGTTCTGACCGGACAATATAATTATATTTTATGCTTTTGAGAGAATTTTTACAAAATAAAGAATTTGTAAAATGTTCTGTAAGTAAATATTAGTGATCTATGCATGAAAACAAAAATCTGTACATAGCAACTTTTGAATGGCTCTCAGTGGAGAAAGATGATTTATAGGACCAAATGGTTTAGTTTTATAACCTACCCATCTAACTGTACCACACTAACCAGCCAAACCTTGACTGCTTGATTAATTTTTAGATTAAAAGTCATTCTACATCAGCATTTTGTCATTGTAAAGTAATAGAATGAACAGTAATAGAATGTAAAGTAAAATATAAAAAGTTGTCTTTTTCTCAATTAACATTAAAGGGATAGTTCACCCCAAAATGAAAATT